TGGACTACACCATCAGAGCTCCTTATTTAAGAAAGCAGGACTATAACCCATGGTGAAGTCAAAGCCCCAGAGTTTGAGGAGATCTCCACATGTATGTCTGACCTCTATATAAAAATACCCAAACCCAAACATTCACAGTTTCAGCAATCCTCAAGCCAGCTGTGAAAAGAAACCTATTGTTATCTATTATAAATGAGATAAAGCTTAAAGAAAATAAGAGTAAACTTCAAAACATTTTGATGTTGTTTCTTGTCTTCTAGTTCCCTTTATTTGAATTGCTTAGGAATATGTCTTTGGGGAAAACCCAGAGACTAATTCATTATTATCCAGGTCTTGGGCTCCCAGGGAGATGGAAATACTGGAAAAAATTGGGAAATAAAGTGATGGTGGAATGGCTTTGTGCAGGAAATACAAGAGCAGAACAACTTTCTTTGGCCAAGTAGTTTAGAATTATCTACCTATGCTTGGCAAAATGATATTAATTTGATTTTGTCAAATGCAAATTCCTCCATTTCCCTGAAAGGTGTAGGATGCTGTTTCTTTCAGTGTGTGTGTGTGTGTGTGTGTGTGTGTGTGTGTGTGTGTGTTTCAAGCAAATACAGAACAAATGAAGTCTCTATTCTTGGCAGAACACTTTAAATCCTGCACCAAACTGAGAAGATGCTGGTGGTCTTTCCTTCTCCACGTGGGAGTCTAGGCCACTGGAGGGTCTTGTCCTCTGAGGGTGGACCAAGGACACTGAGAACTAAGCAGAAGGGTCCACAGTCTCAATCCCACAATGCCATCTGTCTATGCTTTGGCAGAAAAGAAAAAACAATAACAAGGTTATTTTTCTCCCCTGAAAAAAACAACCTGTTACTCATTCTCAAAGGCGCTGGGGAATCTTAAAAAGCAAAAGGAGTCAATCAAGTGAAACTGCAAACAGGTCTCCTACTGCGATAGGGCGTGTTTACCTGTCATCCCTCTCTCTGTCCACATGCCAGCACTTGCCCTCTGAAACTGATGGAGAATCCACAGTGAGTCACGGCCATAATCACAGTCTACACTTCAGTAATAAAGTCAGAATCCCAAACTGCTTCAACAACAGTGAGTTTTATGACAGTCTTGTAAGGAGTTATCACCATTATTATGTTTCTCATTTAATCAAAGCACTTGGGGATGAAGGGGCTGTTCCAAGGTCAAATGGTCTGGTATTCATATTAATATAAACTGGGTCATCCCCTTCAGCCTAGTGCACAAAGGTTTAGATTTGCCATTTAGATGAGCAAATAAACTTCTGGAACCTCCTCATGGAATTAAGTCTTTGGAGATTCTCCACCCCCCTTCACATTCTCTATAATTTTCCTGTTAAACTGAGAGAAACTTTTTTAAAAAAAAACTTTATTTTATTATTTTGTGCGTGTACCGTCAAATCGGATCTGACTCGTACAGGAGGAGATTGCCCCTCCTTTTCCAGCAGAGCATCTGGTGGATTTGAACCATATATCTCTGGGATTGCAGTGCAGCTTCTTGCCACCAGAGCTCCCACTCCACAGAGTGGACATCAGGACAGTGAGCCTTTCTCTAAAATTCCTCACTGCAGCACCCACATCACATTCATACTCTGTGTTGACTGAGCATTATGAAGACAGATTCCAATTACATAATTTTCCAGGTTGTCTAAGCTACAACCAGGACTATTGGAGGGAGAAAAAATTAGAGGAAAACCAAGTCCTCCTTATTCCTCCCTTCCACAACAAACATGCTGCTCTCTATGTTGTTTTTAGGTGCCATCAATTAGAGTATGAGCCATAGTGACCCTAAGAACAACGAATCTGAACCCTGTCCTATCCTGCACCATCCTCGCACTTCCTATCGCAGCAGTCACCATGACAATCCACCTGATTGAGGGTCTTCCTCTCCTGGGCTGACCCTCCTTCCCAGCATCATGTCCCTCCCCAAGGAATAGCCCCTCCTAGAAATAGTCCTAAAGGATGTGAGGTGAAGCTTTATCATCTTTGCCTTCAAAGAGCACCTGGCTGCACTTTCTCCAAGACATATATGTTTGCTCCTTTGGCAGTCCATGGGATGTTCAGTGTTCTTCTTCAACATCACAGCTCAAAGGCATCAGTTCTTCCTCTGTCAATTCTTATTCTTCACCCTTTAATAACTGGAACATGGATGGCATGTAGCTTGAATGTTGAAAACTATAAATTGTGAAAAATAAGATGGAGTGCATCAACATCGGCATTCTAGGCATTAGTGAGATGAGATGGACCAGCTTTGGCCACTTTGAATTATATGGTTTATTATGCTGGGAATGAAAAACAGGAGCAGAATGGTGTTGCATTCATGGTTAAGAAGACCTGCTCGCTGACCTACCCTCCAACTCATGGTGACTCCAAGTGATGAAACCACTGTAATCCCCGGGATTCTTATTGGCTGATTTGGAAGCTGACTGCCAAGCTTTTCTTCCTGGTTAGCCATCTCAGTCTACAAGCTTTGCTGAAAACTACTTAGCCTCATAATAACATATAAACTTCACTGGTAACAGGGTAGTGACTATGTGTGAGGTTCATCAGCTGGGAATCAAACTCAGCTTCCCACCTGGAAGGTAATAATCCTGCCACTGAACCAACATTGCCCACAAGTGCTATGTAAGTGTATGCATTACTACTGTGTTATTGTTAGATGCTGTCGAGTTGATTTCCATGACTAGCAATCTCACTACATGACAGACTAGAATTGCCCAATAGGGTTTTCTAGGCTGTAATGTTTAATTCATCAAACTGCTAAACAAAACATCGGCACTTCAAGTCCACTAGCCGCAATAAATGGAACATGGAAGGTATGAGAAAAAGAGACCGTTTCTTCACATAAAAATGTGTAGCCTTGGAAACTCAAGGAAGATTCCTTAAGAGTCAAGAATTAATTGGACAGAAGGATGCAAGAAGCTTCACTGCAATTTGTTAGGTTAGCGGACTTAGAGAAGAAATCAGAGAGAATGAGAGAAAGCTTAATGCAGCTTTATTAAAGGGTGGGTGGGAAGGGAAGCTGCCAGGTGAGTTTCTCATCCTGGAGAGGCAAAATGGGAAGTCACACTGTGAACTTATTGGGGAAGATTTTTATAAACAGAGTCTTTAGGGAGGGACATTCCATTCTGATTTAGGAGCCACCTGCTAGCTCAGCCAGACAAGCAAGGCTGTTTGCTCTCTTCTTAGCAGCAGCAGGCAAGGCCATCAGCATTTGAGCTGTCCTCCTAAGCAGATACAGAAGCTCTACCTATTTTCCCTCAAAAATCCTAATATTTTCCTCTCCCCTAGTAAAAATTGATGTCCGTAGCTTAGCTGCCTTCTCAGAGGGAGCAGCTTTCGCAGCCTCATTGCTACGTAAGCAGGGCAAAAGTCTGCCCAGGCATTATGTCTAATCTGAGGATCTGTCCCGGGACAGCACTCCTCACAAACCTTCAGCATTATGCCTAATCTGGGGACCTGTCCCAGGGACAGCTCTCCTCTGAAAATCGTGCATCCTCAACATCATGCTTGATTTAAAGCAATCTCAAATTGTGTAACCAAATTTTAGCTCGTTCAATCCATATGTCCTTC